CATGTCACACAGTACATAATAGAGATTTAAGGGGGCAGCGCAGGACCTTCAGGCTCCAAGACACATTCGGCAGCGTCAGGGATGGTGGAAGCTGCTTCAGTGTGTTGAGTCGTGATGTTGGTTTCGTTAGCGCCCTCCTCTACACTTATCCACTTCTCTTCGAACTCAACTACCTTCCTTCGAAGCTGTTCCAATGACTCCTTTTTTGGCTTCCTCCATTTTTCTGGCGACTTCCCCAAGACACCGGAAAGCACCTCCTGCAATTATCGAAGATTCATTATACTGATCAAAAATGGGAAATGAATGCATCGCAGGGGCGTTGCGAGTTTTTACCTGTCCAAAGTGGGGGGGAAAGGTCGACCAGTTATCGATCACCTTCGCGTAGCCACCACCATCGACGCCGAACTCAACACAAAAATATCCAAAATTGGGCGGTATAATCTTGCGCACCCTAGCCCCCAGTCGCGCAAGGTCGATTAGTCTAGTATTCTGATCCCACTCCGAGCCAAGGTCAAGCATGGCTTTCTGCACACACGGTAGGGCAAAAAAAACAATTGGCAAAGGTCAGTGTAAAGAACATGGTGGTGTATGTATCTTCCTAGTTGAGTCACAACTGCAATCCCAGAATCATCGCTCTTGAAAGAAGTCTAGCCAAACCAATTCAGATTTTCTCATTCAATTTTGAAAATCGGCGAGTTCGCAAATGGGTTGATGGGAAGCAGAGCACACATACTCCGGAATCTCTGTTGCCCCACTGTGCCACTGGTTACCGTCACTTTTTACCAAATCTATATTTAGTTTAAGACCTGTAAAGGGTGTTTGCCCTCGGATTGAGAGCATACTATTTCGTCTGCGGTGCAACTTGGCGCCAAAAAGTAGCCATAAATCAAGAGAGGGGACACATTGAATATGCGATATCTAGATCAGGCAAGGAAATCGGAGTATTGTATATTATAGCGATTAAAAATAAGCTAAATGGTCTTGAAATACATGACTTCCGTTACTTTGAAATAAGATGGTAGTTCGTCCATTGTCTCCCGACTAACAGGAACGCACTCTATTTGAGTATGGTGTTTGAATGAAGTGGAATAGCTGGCTACCTCCATGAAGACGCAGGACGCTCCTTTGCCCTTCCACAAGGCGGCCATACGGCAAAGATCACGTTTAAAGGCACACGCCTCCTCAACTGCTGCCTTGTCGAGCCGTGTCATTGCGCCTACGTGCTCCAGTGGAGTAATGAAGCAATGCCCCTGCGATAGGCTCACGTGTTCGGGCAATGAGAGAAACATCTAGTAAGTTAAATATTAGCAAAGAATATTGCTAAATTGGCACAAGCCTTATACAGATGATGTTTAGTGCTTTGACGAGAGTAAACGGGGACCGAGGACGTTTTATACGTCATGCGAACATTAGTAACCATACTTGTAATGACTTACGCGATGCCTGACACTTATTACAAGGTAATGTGGTGTATGATCCATGCATGAAGGACAGGTGGATTCAGCATATTCCCGTCTCTTGTACTCTAGAATTAGAAGAATAAGCTAAAACCCAGAAGAAGCGATGAAGAGCAAGGTCAGTGTTGACCATGCAAAAAGGTGGGAAAACCAAGATCACAAAGTAAAAAATTCCCGCCGCATTTTTAGAATACGGTTATTGAGAGGCGTCGCAAAACCCCTACTTGAGCATCAACAAATTTGGTGGTATGTTTAGCATCCTTCAAGCAAGGGTAATGGTTAGCATTTGCCAGCAATGGTGATCAACTCGCAAAGGGCAGACCTGTTATTGCATCGGATCCTAGGCGAGGCTTCAAAACACCTTGTAGTTTGGCATTTTCCTTCACAAAGTTAGTTTCGTATTCATCAGCAACACCCTTGTACTAAACAAAAGAATATACGGTATCACGTTGTTCTCACCTGACCGGCAACGGACGCAAAGTGCCTGAGGTAGGAGTCTTTTGTTTCCTGGTTTTCTTGGCGAATCATCTCTTCGATAGTATAGCTACCCTCGTCCTCACGAGGATATTCATTCTGGCGACCTTTCCCGCCATGGTGATTGCTTCTCTCACGACTATGATTGAATGAGCAAATGTATTTTTGGAAAGCGATATTTACTGTGAAAAAATGGCAAAACTGCTAGTTACTTTCTATCAAGTAGGTTTCCTTCAGATTCCTTGAAACACGGAGGAGCATTTTGAACAACCCTTTCTGCAGTGGTGGGATGAGCAGAATTGGTAGAATGCTTGGATTCTTTGGAGGGAGCAAGCACCGTTCTCGTCAAGCGAACTTTAATG